AAATATAACCGTGGCACCACTTTGCTTACATCCCAAATCAGATGTAAGTTGTCTTAGCCACAGAGCCTCCTGTGCTGCACTTGCTAGCGCCATATATTCAGCTTCTGCTGTCGACAATGCAACACATGATTGTTTCTTACTCCTCCAACTTATAGGTCCACTACCCATATGAAACACATAACCAGATGTGGACTTTTGATCATCAATGTCTCCTGCCCAATCCGCATCACAATAGCCAACACATTCAGAAGATCCACGGCTGTGATACACAATTCCATATTTCGAAGTACCCTTTAGGTATCTTAGAATTATTTTTACCGCCTTCCAGTGTTGTTCTGATGGATGAGCACAGAATTTTGCCACATTACCTACAGCGTAAGTAATATCAGGTCTGGTCCAAGTTGACAGATACAAGAGACTACGCACCGCTGATTGGTAAAGTCCCAGATCAAAAGAATGACCTTCTTCTTTTCTCAACTTCACGTCTGGGTCAGTTGGTGTCGATACAGGTTTAGAATCTAGCATTCCAAATCTCTCAAGAACTTTGCTTGTATAGCCTGGCTGTCCTAGCCAGATACCATCTTCCTTTTGAGTAAACATAACACCCAAAAAGGACTTCAATTCACCAAGATCTTTTGCGTCAAATTTTGATGAAATAGCCTTCTTGACACTAGCAAGAATCCTAGTGTTCCTAGCAGCTAATAAGATATCGTCGACATAGACTGCAACGATAACCATCTCTCCTTCTGTAGTTGTATACATACATGGTTCACATGAGGACTGCTTAAACCCAATACCCTTTAGGTGACTGTCAAGTGCTGTGTTCCAGCATCGAGGAGACTGTTTTAGTCCATATAAACTTTTCTTCAATTTACATACAAGGTTTTCCTTTCCTTGTTCAACAAACCCTTCTGGTTGTTTCATGAATACTTCTTCCTCCAACACTCCATTCAGAAAGGCTGTTGTCACGTCCATTTGATGCAACCGTAAATTGTATTTTGCAGCCATAGCAATGACTGTGCGCACTGACTCAGGTCTAACAACTGGACAGAATGTCTCATCATAGTCCAATCCATACCTCTGTGAGTATCCTTGAGCAACTAACCGAGCTTTATGTCTCTCAATTTTTCCCTCAGCATTTACTTTGATCTTAAACACCCATTTGCTTCCTACAGCTTTTCTTCCTTCTGGCAGTTCTACTAAGTCCCAGACTTCGTTTTCATGAAGCGATTCGATTTCTTTATTCATCGCCGTTAACCATTGAGACTTCTGTGAGCTTGCCATAGCCTGTCTCACTGTACTGGGTTCTTCTAGATCTTGAGTCAAGTTTAACAACTCACCATATCGATTCGGTGGGCGTTTAACTCTCGCTGATCGTCTGACGTCTAGCTCCTCATCTGGTTCATCAACACCTTCATCATCAGGATCATCAACACGATTCACTTCTTCATCGACGTCATTATCAATGAATTCCCGAAACACAGGTGTTGATTTCTGAGACATTCCAGTCTCCTTCTCAAGACCGAACGTGTTCTCTACTTCTTCATCGTCGTCAATGAATTCCAGAAATATAGGTGTTGATTCCTGAGATATTTCAGCCTCCTTCTCAAGACCGAACGTGTTCTCATTAAACAGAACGTCTCTGCTGTAAATCACCCGATTAGTTTTCAAATTGTATAGGCGATAACCCTTGGCATCGATTCCGTACCCCAGAAAAACGCATTTCTATGTTTTTGAATCGAACTTCTGTCTTTCATCTTTAGGAATGTGTGCATACGCAACACACCCAAACACTTTCAGGTGATCGACACTGGGTTTCGTACCAGTAAACACCACAAATGGTGTAGTACCTTGAAGAACGTTAACAGGACTTCGATTCTGCAGATATACAGCTGTTGACACGGCTTCTGCCCAGAATTTTCTTGGGAGCTGTGCCTCAGCCAGCATGGAACGTGCTGCTTCCACAATAGTCCTGTTCTTCCTCTCTGCTACTCCATTCTGTTCTGGTGTTTTCGGAACAGTCAGTTCATGACGGATCCCCTCTTTCTTTAAATAACCTTCAAATTCATTTGAAGTAAACTCTCCCCCGTTGTCGGTGCGTAGGGCCTTAAGATCTTTTCCAGTTGACCTCTCAACCATTGCTTTCCATTCAAGGAAACTCTTAAAAACATCATCCTTGTGCTTAAGGATGTTAACACGAGTGTATCGACTGAAATCGTCAATAAATGTAAGGAAATAGTGAGCAGACATCACTGTGAACCAGGTCAAGTATCCCATTTCTTACCCTTCCACTTGACGGAAACTTGGTCCTGTGATGTTTGCCCTTTGCACATGGTTCACACAGTTGCTTATTTGACCGCTCATCATACTCAAGACCATCCACTAGATTTCCTACAGCCAACTTCTTGAGATTTTCAAAACCTAGGTGTCCGTAGCGTCTATGCCACAGTTCCTCACTTGTTTCTTTACCTCCGTTTGCTGTATTACATTGATGTTCATTGGCATAATAACACAAATGGTGCAAACCACGTGACCGCACTCCCTTTGCCAGAAGTTTACCGTTATTATCTTTTATTTCACAACCTTTAATATTGAAATAAACTTTCTTTCCAGCCTCAATTGCGTTGTCAACACTGAACAGATTACACTTGAGTTCAGGCACATAAAGCACATCATGCAGCGTGCATTCTTGGTGCTTATTACCAGGCAACTTCATCCTTAGTTTGACAACACCACAGGGATGTGCCTTCAGATTCCGTCCATCTCCGAGTCCTATATTCAGAGGCTCTTCCAAGTTTGTCAAGTGGACAAATTCAGATCTCCTGCAACACATAAGACTTGTCGCTCCAGAATCAATAATCCAAGTCGCAACACCATTGCCTCTAGTTAAGGCATGCCGATGCCTCATTGACAGTCCCACACTTTCATTACTTGAGCATCTCTTAGCCTTAATCTCAGCGTGATTTGCTTCATTTTGACTGTAAATACGTTTGCCTGATTCTTGCCTTTTTAACTCAGGACAATCTCTTTTAATGTGTCCAATTCTCTTACAATAATAACACTGGGGTCCTTTCTTAATTGTCTTCTCCTTCGACACAAGTGCTCTACTTGGTACTTCTTCCCTTCGTTGTGATATCTTTCGCTCTTCGTGAAGTAATCGTTCAGTTACAAGTTCCATCTTTGGAACTTCTGAGCAAGCCTCAAGAGCTGTTACCAACATATTGTAGGAGTTGGGAAGGCTAGCAAGTAGGTGAACCACCCTGTATTCTTTATCAACGGCATATCCTACCACAGCAAGCTCGTTGAAAATCTCCGTTTGAGTTAAAATGTGCTCATGGACAGAGTCCCCATCATTCATTCTAATTGTAATTAATCTCCTTCTCAGCGCCAGTCTCTTAGCCCATGTCTTCTTTTGAAACTGATCCCTCAGTTTTTCCCAGACAATCTTGGGTTCAACTGGATTCCCGATTAAATACAACAATGAAGTGTCCAACGCCAACACAATGATAGCCTTACAGTAAATTTAGCAACCTTCTCCGATTCAGCTTCGTCAGGTGCAATTTCAGACCCAGTAATAATCCCCAGAGTCCATCCTTCATCAAGGTCATCTGGCATTGAATTTTCCAGGTCGAATAATTTGCACCAACAAGAGGAATGATGCTTGTGTTCATGTTTGCCATTCCGGTAATTCTGCGAACACCGATTCCGAATTCAAACCACACAAAAATCGAATCAGCAATAGCTTAGCACAGGATAATGCTACCTGGGCCCATAATCTGTTGAAAATATTATGTTGCTAATCCACTTCACAATATATACGTTGCTACTCCAACTTCACAAGGAAGATAATGAAACAAGCAATGGCAACCATCAAGGTTAGTTCAACGTTTTAATTTTAAGAGAACAACATGGAGTCCTCGACAAGAACTGCATAACAACATGACGTTAATACACAATACAAAATGTCGTGTGCAAGACAATGCGCAACATTCAGTATTTTGTCAATTTCCAACACTAAAACTGTTGTGTATGCTAGTGCTATAACTGTTGTGTATGCTAGTGCTATAACTGTTGTGTGTGCTAGTGCTATACAATAACTATTGTGTGCCATAATGCTATAATTGCTGTGTGTGCTAGTGCTATCAGTGTTGTGTGTGCTAGTGCTATACAATAACTGCTGTGTGTGGTAGTGCTATACTACAACTGTTGTGCGTGGTAGATCTATGCTATAACTGCTGTGGGTGGTAGTGCTATTACCGTTGTGTGTGCTAGTGCTATACAATAACTGCTGTGTGTCGTAGTGCTATGCTATAGTCGTTGTGTGTGCCAGTGCTATATCTATTGGGTTTTTCTGTGTAATAGTGCTACAGCTATTGTAGTATGTGATAGTACTACGACTAGCCTGATGTGTGATCGCGCTACAACTGGTGTGTGCTATAGATAGACCGAGGTAAAGACCAGACGTAATCTGCCCGTTAATGTTAGAAGTATAAAAACAATATAATTATTTTCTTGGTTAACAGTGACAACAGACTTCCTAGAAACAAGACAACATGTCAACAATTGCCAGGATGAAATGAGTTGTTTTGGTGCTGCAGAGATGTTTGTAGGTTTGTCGCATTTCTTTTTATATTATATATATATATATATATATATATATATATATATATATATTAAACACACATGGAGTAGGTTGAAAAACGCCTGGAAACAAGACAAAACAGAGGCGTGAGATAAGACAAACAAACATATTTCTTTCAGAAAAGAGATGTTTGTATATTTTTATCATTTTTTTTTATATTATATATATATATATATATATATATATATATATATATATATTAAACCCACATGGAGTAGGTTGAAAAACGCCTGGAAACAAGACAAAACTGAGTCGTGAGATAAGACCAACAAACATATTTCTTTCAGAAGCAACTCCAACCAGTTTTGTATAGTTTAATTTATTGGAAATGTCTATAAAAAAGAAGAAGAAAACACCTCTATAAACGCGTGTAAAGTAAAATCTAGAAATATAGGATCTATCAATTATTACAGAACAAACAAAAAGAAAAAGAAGAAATCCCACTGCGAGTTTAATTTAGGACCAGGAGCATCCGATAACGCGCGAGCTGGAAAGATAGTCGGCTCTGTGTCACAATGACGTCATCTGAAACACAAAGGATAAAAAGAGTCTTTGTCTCAAACTCTTGGAACCACTGTGCCACCCGCCATCAGCCTACACTCGCGTTATCAATAAAGGAGAGGCGAAATAAACACAATGGCCACAATGATCCGTGTTGAAAACTAACTAGAATTAAAGATATGCGCTTGAAAAATATCGATGTGGTTGATGTTCGAATGATTATACAGGTGTGTGAAATTTGAGATTATGTTCTATTCCTGGCATAAATTATTATATATTTACTACTCCTCATATGAATAAAAATATTCTTAATATCCCAAACAAGGATGATTATTTCTTAATATCCCTCACAAGGATGATTTTTTCTTATTATCCCTAACAACGATGATTATTTCTTAATATCCCTCACAAGGATGATTATTTCTTACTATCCCTCACAAGGATGATTATTTCTTATTATCCGTAACAACGATGATTATTTCTTACTATCCCTCACAAGAATGATTATTTCTTACTATCACTCACAAGGATGATTATTTCTTACTATCCCTCATATCGATGCTTATTTTCTTACTCACAAGGATGATTATTTCTTACTATACCTCACAAGGATGAACATTTCTTAATATCCCTCACAAGGATGATAATTTCTTACAAACCCTCACAAGGATGATTATTTTTCTATTTAGTCACCATTTCTTGTTTTGGTTAGCATTCCTCCATTTAGTCCCAATCTTCCTCGTGCCACTCCATCATGAGGTGCTTATACTTATCATCATCGGCCCGAGGGTTGCACACGCTGTAGATCTCGGACTCGTAAAACACCTGGCAGTTGAACTGCTCGTGATCCCAGTACGCAGGTGTTTCTGGGAATGCAAACAAAAAAGATCCTCTTTCTCATCATACGTTTCATCGACATCCTCATCAAAATTAAATTCATCCGAGTTTTCAACATTTTTTGTTAGCATTCCGGCAAGAAATTAAATTTACCGAGCCGTTTGATTTTTAACGCTTAAATTCCTACCAGATAAAAATGGTTATGAAAGCATCCAATCAGATTGGCCTTTCGATGGTAAATGTCTTTAAAAAAAAATTTGATGAAAGCATTAATGACGACAATAAATTATTAAGACTAATTTAAGGTCATGGGTATTTGAGTGCCGGCTGTAGATACTTTCTAAATAAAAGTTATCATAAACGATACATTTAAATTGGTCGTTACGAGACATGACGCTGAACCACCGAACTAGATCTTACAAATTAAATTTAGGACAGAGATTTGAAAAGTTCTTTAAACGTTTACGTTAAGATCACAATGTCTTGCCTTGAAAGTCAACATGTTGATGATTTGGTGAGTGATACGCGGAAATGAAACATTCCGACAACTCCTGCGACGTCACTGGTGCCAAGCTGTATCATCCAATGATGTTCCCTTGGGTTGCCCAGCGGCGTGGAGAGAGGCGATTTGCTGTTGGGAACCAGCTTATAACCCTTGAATTATAATCCCAGGTGGATTTCGTCCTCCGAAGCCCACTCCCACGGACGGATGCCAGCAAAAAAAAAAAAAAAAGATTCCCGGGGGTTGTAGAGCCATTTGCAGATGGAGCTGGTAGCCATATATTTGTGAGGAAAATGTATGGCTCAGCAGATGGAGCTGGTAGCCATATATTTGTGAGGAAAATGTATGGCTCAGCAGATGGAGCTGGTAGCCATATATTTGTGAGGAAAATGTATGGCTCAGCAGATGGAGCTGGTAGCCATATATTTGTGAGGAAAATGTATGGCTCAGCAGATGGAGCTGGTAGCCATATATTTGTGAGGAAAATGTATGGCTCAGCAGATGGAGCTGGTAGCCATATATTTGTGAGGAAAATGTATGGCTCAGCAGATGGAGCTGGTAGCCATATATTTGTGAGGAAAATGTATGGCTCAGCAGATGGAGCTGGTAGCCATATATTTGTGAGGAAAATGTATGGCTCAGCAGATGGAGCTGGTAGCCATATATTTGTGAGGAAAATGTATGGCTCAGCAGATGGAGCTGGTAGCCATATATTTGTGAGGAAAATGTATGGCTCAGCAGATGGAGCTGGTAGCCATATATTTGTGAGGAAAATGTATGGCTCAGCAGATGGAGCTGGTAGCCATATATTTGTGAGGAAAATGTATGGCTCAGCAGATGGAGCTGGTAGCCATATATTTGTGAGGAAAATGTATGGCTCAGCAGATGGAGCTGGTAGCCATATATTTGTGAGGAAAATGTATGGCTCAGCAGATGGAGCTGGTAGCCATATATTTGTGAGGAAAATGTATGGCTCAGCAGATGGAGCTGGTAGCCATATATTTGTGAGGAAAATGTATGGCTCAGCAGATGGAGCTGGTAGCCATATATTTGTGAGGAAAATGTATGGCTCAGCAGATGGAGCTGGTAGCCATATATTTGTGAGGAAAATGTATGGCTCAGCAGATGGAGCTGGTAGCCATATATTTGTGAGGAAAATGTATGGCTCAGCAGATGAAATTGGTAGCCAATTTACTAGCCGGGGTCTTAAGATAGTAATCTCAGACCTTTCACCAGAATAAGTTAGTTCTGTGTCCGGTTGTGTGAGTGAGCAAAAGTGATTTTTTTTTAAATTACTTTTTTTTTACCTTTACTTATTTCCCTTGATATCACACGAATTTTACTCACCCACGTAAGAAGTATAACGTATGACCTATGACCTATGTCGTGTTAGAAAAATCAACGTGTTGTTGGGGGGGGGGGTTACTTGTGGTGAACGACAGAGAACATTGTTTTTATTATAGTATAGCGGTGAGTTATCACTTTGAAGAGTTGAGTGTACCTTCATTTTGTTCTATTGTGAACGCCAGTTATTACTGGTCCGCCAACGTTGTGGACTCTGTTTAACACAGTATATAAATTCTTGAATAATGCTTATTATTTTAAACCGTCTTGTCAAGTTTGTTTACTCGATATAACACATCAGGAGACAACAACGGAGTTCTACACATCAGCCTTGTAGCGGCTAGGAGACAACAACGGAGTTCTACACATCAGCCTTGTGGGGGCTAGGAGACAACAACGGAGTTCTACAAATCAGCCTTGTGGGGGCTAGGAGACAACAACGGAGTTCTACACATCAGCCTTGTGGGGGCTAGGAGACAACAACGGAGTTCTACAAATCAGCCTTGTGGGGGCTAGGAGACAACAACGGAGTTCTACACATCAGCCTTGTAGCGGCTAGGAGACAACAACGAAGTTCTACTCATCAGCCTTGTAGCGGCTAGGAGACAACAATGGAGTTCTACACATCAGCCTTGTGGGGGCTAGGAGACAACAACGGAGTTCTACACATCAGCCTTGTAGCGGCTAGGAGACAACAACGGAGTTCTACACATCAGCCTTGTAGCGGCTATGAGACAACAACGGAGTTCTACACATCAGCCTTGTAGCGGCTAGGAGACAACAATGGAGTTCTACACATCAGTCTTGTAGGGGCTAGGAGACAACAAAGTGTGTTCCAGACTCTCACATTGTTTCTGTGGCCATACGGTGAGGACCTATCACAGATGACGTTTTGTTGGCCACACATGGCTCTAGGACTTTGTCTCAAATATTTTATGTCATGACAAGAAGCGTAAGTCTATTTTATAACGTTAGTTTATTGTATGGCATTTTCTTATGCTTTGAGTTTCAGCTGATTATGATCACATAAGTTAAAAATAATCAAGAAGAAATTGACAAGCTGAGATGAGATTACCATTTTATTCTCGCTTTATTTTTTTTTTTTTAAATGTCTTTTTTTTTTTTTTTTATTTCGGAAGAGCATTTTTTTCTCTTTTTATTTTTTTTTTTTTAAATGTCTTTTTTTTTTTTTTTTGACGGACGTCTGAAACTTTGACTGATTTCTACGGTAAAGACATCTTATCGCAAATGTTTATGGACTCTGTACAATCATGGCATTTGGCAACTTCAGGCGCCTGCCTTAGAGAGGTCCAGGCAAATATGTTCTTGTCAGGTTTATCTCCGGTTTTAATTAAAACCGAAATTCAATGGCAACATTTGGAATTTAAGCATAATACGGAACAGAGCCAGTGCGGCCCTATTGAGAGTCAAAAGCCCTACTGAAGAAATCTTTTCGAGGCTCACTGAGAATTATCGCGTTCAAGGTATTCAGAGAATGTTGTAATTCGAGCGTCGTCTCAGAATTTAGCTCTTCTACACCGTCAGAGAAGACATTCATTTAATGGCCTCATTAGCTAAATGTTACATAGAGCTGCTGGTACAACATTCTTTAAATCAGTTATAGGAATAAGTGAGTTAGTGGTAGTAATTGGTGAGTTAGTGGCAATAAGATGTGAGCCAGCCTTTCAAAAAGTAGATTTGAGTTGTTGAAAAGCGTGAATGAATTATAGAAATACATTTTATATCAAACATAAAACTGTAAATAGTGGGAGAATGTAACAAGAATGTCTAAAAGAGAAGTTTGTGATATCTCTGATTGGCTTATATCCACTTGGTGACTCACCGAAGAAATTGCATTGATTGATGAGATCAAGACTCACCCATAAAAAAAAGTGGCATTGGTTGATGACATTATGAATTAACCATCTCTGACACATGCATTGGTTTACAGAGAATTATATTGGTTGATTAGATCATGACTTACCGATTACAGAAAAGAACATTGGTTGATGAGAACATGGCTTACCGATTATAGAAAAGAGCATTGGTTGATGAGATCATGACTAACCCATGACAGAAAAATTACATCGGTCGATGAGATCATGACTAACCCATGACAGAAAATTACATTGGTCGATGAGATCATGACTAACCCATGACAGAAAATTACATTGGTCGATGAGATCATGAAAAACCCATGACAGAAAATTACATTGGTCGATGAGATTATGACTTACCCATGACAGAAAAGAGCATTGGTTGATGAGAACGGATCTCCCCTAGAATCGGATGTTTGCAGACGAGAACTCGGGGTTTGTCCAGGTACCACTCGCAGATGATCGGTGTGAACAACTTTGAGATGCGTCTCTTGCGCAATTTCCGCTGGTCCTGACTTGATGCTCCCCGGGTGAGCACAGTTTCATCCTCGGAAAACTTTTTCCTTTGATAGTCCTCGTCGTCGGTTTGCCTTCTGGACGGCGTGTAGTAATCGTAGTCATCATCATCTGTGTCCTTCCGACGGCTGACAGACGGGCGCAGTTGTTTCACGTCCTCCTCCGCTTCATCCGTCCCCGCTGCCCCTTTACGCTCTTCAGGACTCATATCTGAGGGTTGTGTGACTAAGATTGTTCTAGGTGGACTTTCTGCCTCCGCGCGTTCCTTCTCTCTTAGTGAATCTCGGGGTTTGGTCGACCTGACGGTCTTGACAGAATCCTCACTTTCAGGGTATTCCTTTTTCTTTGTGCGCCGCTCCGGAGCCTCATCATCCGCTGGTCTGGGAAGTCTTTTCGGCTTCTTGGTGATATCTTCTTGCTCGTCCTCTTGATCAAGCCGTTTGGCAATTTTTCTCCTCCTCCGGCCCATGTCACTGGCGGCACCATCTTCAGACGCAGCCACTGAGGCCCTGTCTTCATCATAGTCCTCATCTCGTCGGCCCTTTCGTTTCGGCTCTATTTCTCTACGCTTTTCGTCCGTCTCCACATCCTCCGCTGCCATGGTTTTACGGGCTTTTTCCTTTGTTTTCTTCCTGCCACTTCTATCCGTTTCCGACTCCTGAGATCGTTGCGAGCCCTCGTCTGAGTCATTTTCTTCCAGGAGTTCCATGTCTTTTTCCCGTGGCTGTCTCCTCTCAGATGAAATATCTTCAATCCTACCCGTGTCTCGGCGTTTTTTTCTGGGCTCCACGTCCTCATCTTCTTCTCTTTCTTCAGTTTCCCTCTTATCCTTCTCGCGTCTTTTCTTCGGTTCGCGTCCTTCGTCTGTTTCACTATCTTCCTTATCCGACTTACTTCTTTCACGTTTCTTCTTTCCCGGTACGGCTTCACCCGGCTCAAGCTGATCGCTGTCTCGTCCAGCTTTGTCACGTTTTTTCTTGGGTTCGTACGACTCACTTAATTCTGCTTCATCTCTTCCGTCCCTGACCTTCGGGCTCCTTCTCTTGCTGACATCAACGTCCTCGGCGTCCAGGGCTTCTCTGACTTTTTTTACTTTGTCGCGCTTCCTCTTTGGTTCCTCTAACTCTACTTCTTCGGCATCCACTAAGCCTTTGTCGGGTTTCATCCGTGGTGAGACATCCTCCTCTTGTTCACCATATTCTCTATCTATGCTTCTTTTTCTTCTCTTATCGTCAACATCCTCATGGGTTTCTTTACCTTTTTTAATTTTCTCACGTTTTTTCTTTGGTTCTTCTGTTTCTTCTTCTTCCTCGCTATCCCGTCGGCTGGTGTCTAGTTTTTTCTTCGGCGTGTACGTCTCATCTAGTTCAGCATCTTCTCTCTCGTCTTTGCTTTTGCCACGTTTTCTTTTCATGTCATAAACATCATCAGGGCCTGTCTCTTTACCCTTTTTGACTCTGCCGCTTTTTTTCTTTGGTTCGTCGAATTCCGCTTCATCCACATCGTCGATGCTGCCTTCCTCTTTTCTCTCTGAATCATAAATGTCACCAGGACCGGCGGCTCCTTTTCCTTTTTTGATTTTATCACGTTTTCTTTTATAATCATCAACATCTTCATGACCGAGTTCTTCTTCCTTTTCTTTCCTCCCATCTGTAACCTTCTCACGTTTTTTCTTATCATCTGATTCTATTTCATCTCTGCCTTCCTTGCCCTTGTCTTTTTTCCTTTTTGGTTCGTAAGACTCGTCTAGTTCTGTATCATCCCTACCTTCCTTGGTTTTGTCTCTTCTCCTCTTTGGTTCGTAAGACTCGTCTAGTTCTGTATCATCTCTGCCTTCCTTGCTCTGTTCTCTTCTCCTCTTAGGTTCGTAAGCCTCATCTAATTCTGCATCATCTCTGCCTTCCAAGCTCTTGTCTCTTCTCCTCTTAGGTTCGTAAGCCTCGTCTAATTCGGTATCATCTCTGTCTTGCTTAGGTTTCACTCTTCTCTTCTTTCGTTCGTAAAAATCGTCTAATTCTCTATCATCTCTACCTTCCTTGCCCTTGTCTTTTCTCCTCCTAGGTTCGTAAGCCTCGTCTGATTCTGTTTCATCTCTGCGTTCCTTGGTCTTGTCTCTTCTCCTCTTAGGTTCGTAAGCCTCGTCTGATTCTATATCCTCTCTTCCTTCCCTTGTCTTGTCTTTTCTCTTCTTCGGTTCATAAGCCTCGTCTAATTCTGCATCATCTATACCTTCCTTGCTCTTTTCTCTTCTCCTCTTAGGTTCGTAAGCCTCGTCTGATTCTATATCCTCTCTTCCTTCCCTTGTCTTGTCTTTTCTCTTCTTTGGTTCATAAGCCTCGTCTAATTCTGCATCATCTCTGCCTTCCTTGGTTTTGTCTTTTCTCTTCTTTGGTTCATAAGCCACGTCTAATTCTGCATCATCTCTGCCTTCCTTGGTTTTGTCTTTTCTCTTCTTTGGTTCATAAGCCTCGTCTAATTCTGCCTCATCCCTACCAGCCTTGGTCTTGGCTTTTCTCTTCTTTGGTTCAAAAGCCTCGTCTAATTCTGTATCATCTCTGGTTTCCTTTGTCTTGTCTTTTCTCTTCTTTGGTTCAAAAGCCTCGTCGAATTCTGCATCATCTCTGCCTTCCTTGGTCATATCTTTTCTCTTCTTTGGCCCATAAGCCTCGTCTAATTCTGTATCATCCCTGCCTTCCTTGCTCTTGTCTCTCCTCCTCTTTGGTTCATAAGCCTCGTCTAATTCTTCATCTTCCCTATCATCCCTGCTTCTGTCATCCTTCCTCGCTGTTTCATCTCCATCCTCAACAACTGATGGTTTTATTACTTTCCTCAGTCTATCTCGTTTCCTTTTTGTCTCGCGAGGCTCTTCCAACTCACCCTCTTCTCTGTCGTGTTTTCTCGTTTCATCATCATCCTCCAGATCTGAAACTTCCTTTCTTTTCTTGCTTTTGTAACGTCTTTTCTTTTGTTCGTGCGCATCGTCCAGTTCTAGTTCTTCTCGTTCCTCCCCACCTTCCTCGTGCATTTTCTCGCTTGGATACGCTTCCTCTGACTCGACATCTTCCCTATCATCGCTGCTTTTCTCACGTTTTCTCCACGAGTCATCGGCATCCTCAATGTCTGATTTTCCTTTTCCTTTTCTGACTTTGCCCCGTTTTCTCTTGTGTTCCCCCACTTCCACACCTAGTTCCCCTCTCTCCTCCCTCTCCTTCTCAGATTCTCTCTTTGTTTCGTGCTCTTCCTCTGGTTCTGTCTCCTCCGCATCCAATATACCCTTAACCAGAGGTTTTCTCATGTCCATAAATTCCTCTTCGGATTCTTTCCTTTCTTTTCTGATTTGGTCTCGCTTCCTCTTTCGCTCAGAAGATTCATCCGTTTCCGACTCCTCTCTCGAATCGCTCTTTTTCTCACGACGTTTTTTCTTCGGCTCGTAAGCCTCATCGTCCCCGGCGTCGTCTACGCCACGCCTGACTTGCTCTGCTTTCTTCTTTTTGGCCTGCCTTGCCGAGGGCCTGACATCATCGTCGTCTCTAGAATAGCCCGCCTGGTCCTCCTGTAGGTCCTCGAACGAGTCATAATCTCTGGATTTCAGAAGCTTAGATTTCTGCGTCGCGCCCGTTTCACGCTGTTTCCGGACAGCTTTGTGCTCACCGCGAGCTGCTTCTTTGCCGTCTGGTCTGGGTCTGACCAATTCCTCTTCAACATCTTCTTCGACTTCGTCGTCCTTTGGGAGTATTTTCTTTTTAGATTTCCTATCAGTGTATGATTCTTTTCGTTCAGATTTTACTTTATCCCTTTTCTTCTTGGTAACCTCTACTTCATCATCCGATGGCTTGACCTCAGCTCTAGGTCTCCTATCACGTTTTTTCTTCTTTTCAGTTTCCACTCTGTCTTGTAAGCTTGTTAACTGTGCAGCTTGAGACTCCTGAACAGTTGAAATCGATGATAAGGTAGTAGGAGACATTGATACAGAACTTACGTCACTGCCTTGGTACAGGTCAACATCCGAGGAATCAATATGACCTTTCAAGCGTTTTTTTGAATCAGCCACCGCTTGTTTCTTTGGCTTCCTACGTAACTTATCTAAGCCAGGGGACATCTTCTGCTTGAGATTCTCATCAGCTTCAGGATACTCCTCGTCTTCTCCGGCGTCTTCTTCCCGAACATCTTTTCTCGCCTTCTTCTTTGATCTCCGAAATTCCGGTGATTCGAGATCGAGGTCGCTTTCTTTCTTGGGTTTATAACCGATTGACTTCTTAGCGGCTCTAGCTTCACGCTTGAATTCAGAAGCGGCCACCGACTTACGTCCTGCTCTTCCCAACTTTGAGCGACTCACTCCGTGTTTAATAGATCTTTTAGATGACCTTTTACCTCTCTTCTTTCGATATTCTTCATCGCTGTCGGAAGGCGAATGCGGACTGACGTCATCACTTAGCTTGTCCGCGATGTCGTCATCAGACGATGCAGCTTTATCTTTTTTACCTTTCTTATCAAAGGGCTTTTTACCTTCCTTTCTGGACCCCCTGCGTGGGTGCTTTCTTTGGTAGTCTTCCTTTTCTTCCCTTCTAAACTCCTTTACCGGCTCTTCATCATCTCCCTTACTCTCAAACTTCGAAGGCCTCGGCAGTTTTTTAGGTCTCGTGAGTTCCGCGTCCGACTCTCCCAATTTTGTGCTCTGACTGCGGCCGCCATGTTCGTGCTTTTGTTTCTTGTGACGTAAGAAGTCCTCGTCATGTTCACTTCTCTTCCATCGTTTAATGTCGTGATCGGCATCGTCGCGCCTGGTGGCCTTCCTTCCTCGTCTTGGGTGGGAGTGGTCACTAACGCCGCGTGTCATCTTGATTGGCTTCGTTTCCTCCATTCGTTTCGCTTCGCTAATTTTTTTCGATCTCTTGTTGTAAAACTCGTCTGGCGATCCAAGGAAATACTTGGAAGGAAATTTCTTGCTGCTTCGCCTTCCTTTGTCTAAATCGAGGTCTCGGGAATCCCTGTACACCGAGCCCTTCTTTGGGGTCTGTTTCGGCGTTGTTCCAGTGGTCGAGTCATCGTCGTCCGATTCATCGGATTCACTGTCGTCCTCAGAATGAGAAGATGCAACGCTCTTCTTCTTATGGGACGGCTTCCTACCTGATCGTCTGCTTTTCTTCCTCTTCTTCGCCTTGTACACGCCATCTATTTCATCCGAATCATCTTCAGAATCCTCAGAACCCAGATCTAACTCATCTTCGTCATCCTCGAGGTTCAAATAGTCCTCCTCCCCCTGATCGGACACGCTGTACCTCCCGGCTCGATCCACGTCGGACCCCGAGACGGACGGGCTGACCTGATCCGCAGTGTAACCTGGCTGACCTTTGTGTAGTTTCGCCATCTTTCGTTTCTTCTTGATCCTGGCCTTCTTTGCTTTTACCGCTGAGCTTTTGAACTTGGAGCTGCTCTTCGTTCCAGTCTCGCTAGGCTCTTGTTGCTCGGCCAGGTCTTCTATCTGGGTCTCAGATTGTTTCGGTGATTCCTCCTCTGCCTCATACTCTTCTTCCTTGTGCTCCTCTTCTTCTTCCTCTTCAGCGGCGAGGAGCAGCCTCTTTTGGGCTTCCATCCACAACATATTCTCAATTCTTTTATCCCCTCTGAGCAGTATCTGTTAAAAGAAATTGGTCATTTTCTTTCCATATGAAATTCATCAACAGTATAGCTAACCTAGCATAAGATCTAATATTGATTGATAGGTAGTTAGTAGGAAGAGTTATGACTTCATGTGCGTGGACGCACGTGTTCAATTTCTTTAGGGAGTAGCGTGGCGCTTCTTTTCCCCCGTTATCGACTAAGTATTAACTAAGTATTGCACTGTAGCCGAATGCACGTCAACCTCGTTTTGAGTTATTCCAACGTTCAATAGAATCCCAGTAAATTTCAATTGGTCAGTTTAAGATTCGCTTTGCAAACTTCATTTATGTCCTGTTAACCGAGTAAAGTATGTGTATGAGATATGCATGTTCGGTAAACCAATGCGGTGCGTGTATAAGAATGCGTGTGTCCTGTTAACCAAGTACGGTATGTGTAAGAGATTTTGTAGGTGTAAAGAGCACTGCAAAGGCAGATGGTTACCTTTAACATTAAAATACGTGTATAATATGTTTAGAAAACTGCAGGCCTATAGAGGGTTTGAGTCGTACGTCATTTCATTGATGTGATCCACACATAAACATTTAACACTGGCTAACTGCTTGTGCCGCACTTCGAAATCCTTACACTCGATGAAAATTGGATCGTCTGTGAGCATGTAATCAGTTGTATGATAATTATCTGCAAGGTTGCATTGCAATTACGTTCTAAAAACGTATAGAACGTTTGAATACACGGTCAACAACGTGCTGGTAAGTTCAGTCGTCAACAACTTATTCTTACCATATTCCAAATAGCTTTGCCCGCACACCAAGTTGTTTTAAGTTGCGCGCTTACTGCGTGCGTGCCGCTTACCTTGAGCTCGTGGATCTTCTTCTTGATCTTTTCAATGTTGCCTTGTCTAACCGCATTCTCCTTCTGCAGCTCCAAAGCCATGAGTTGCAATTCCTGGAGTTAAGTTGTGTCAACAGGTTTACAATTACTATTATGTCTAACATAAAAAACTCGGCTAGTATGACTAATATCTAAACTCTACTATTATGTCGAACATCTAAAATTCTGCTATTATGTATAAAATTTAAACTCTACTAATGTGTCTCACATCGAAAACTCTACTATTATGTCTAACATCTAAAAGTACTAAGGAATGTCTCATGGTACTCGGGAATGTCTCAGGTACTAGGCAATGTCTCATGGTACTGGGGAATGTCTCATTGTACTGGGGAATGTCTCAAGTACTAGGGAATGTCTCATGGTACTAGGGAATGTTTCATGGTACTCGGGAATGTCTCAGGTTCTAGGGAATATCTCAGGTACTAGGGAATGTCTCAGGTACTGGGGAATGTCTCAGGTACTAGGGAATGTCTCAGGTCTAGGAAATGTCTCATGGTACCGGGGAATGTCCTAGTTTCTAAATCTTGGGAACAAAAACACTATTTTATCAAATAAATTACCTGTTATAGATTGTATTAAAAACCGATTTAAAATGTTTTGGAATCGAGCTAGTTGTTTAAGAAAATGTTAAATCACATACAGGTGTTACAAACCAATAACACACGTGTATACCAATCTGAACCAACCTTAGAAAATATCGCCTTTTCATAGAAGTAGAGTTCACAGTCCACGGACTTGTAGAGACATAAGGCAATGAATTCAATGGGGTCGCGAGGCCGTTTCTGCACAGAATGGACAAAATCATGACCTTATAGAGTCTTTAAGGTCAATGTCACAATTAAACAAATATGTTCATACAATTTGTGGCATTCAAATATAATCTCAGTTATAAAAGAAAAAACATTGATATTAGAACTGAATGAATAGATGGATCTCTGTTCACAGCCAGCTCGTCGTCGATCCAGGGGATAACGCACATCGTCTCCAAAGACAACAAAAATATCTTGCACATCAACTGTAGAGCCGTTTCACGTATTTCTCTGCATAGCACTGTAGGACAAAAGATCAACAACAGCGTTCTCTCTTTTATCGCTGTCAATCAGTTCCAGATAAGTGAACTTCCGCGAAGTAGAATTCTTTATTTATAAATCGAATATTTGTTCATAGTTATTTAAGCCTATAAAACATGTTTAAAGCCCCCCAAACATGTTTTTTTGACATTATTAGACCCTCTGGGGACGCTCGGATACATAGGCCTACAGTCCATATGTACAGTAATTGTAATTGTAATACAGGGGTGTATAACCGACTATAAATCAGGATCGCCAAAGCAGCAGGAACTAAGGCTAAACTGAATAAGCGGGTCTGGAATAATTTCAATCTAACTGATAAAACAAAATTAAGTGTCTATCAAGCATGTGTGCTTATTGCGCTCCTGTATGGCAGCGAAGTGTGGACCACATATACCAGTCAGGAGCGTAAACTCAACAGCTTCCACCAAAGATGTCTGCGTCACATTTTACGCATTCGATGGCAGGACAAGGTGCCTAACACGGAGGTCTTGGAACGTGCAAAAAGGTTTAGCATATTCTCCTTTCTTAGCAAGTGGCGCCTTCGCTAGTTAGGCCACGTAAGGAGAGTGGAGGAAGGCCGTATCCCAAAGATGCTGCTTTATGGAGAGTTGGCAGGAGGAACAAGACTTATTGGACGGCCACGCCTGAGACTTATGGACGTCATGAGGGAAACCAATGTTAAAAACAACGAACGGGAGCTCATTGCCGAACAACGTTCCAGCTGGTGAACAACAGTGTATGTAGGAATTAAAAAGGCAGAAGATATGCGAAACGAGGCCCTTGCAACAAAAAAGAACAATACGGACGTCAAGATCTTACCAGGAATCAATAATCTCCTGCGAGAAGTGCAGTCGAGATTGTCATTCTAGGATTGACCTAGTGAGCCATTCGTCGAAGTGTAGGACAACACAGCTACTCCATCGCCTTGTGAAGACGGAAGGATGCCATGTATAGCCGACTCAGACAACCGAACGCGCGCTGTGACATTTCCACTATCCCAATTAACTTTTTAATGAATACAGGTTATTTATTATTTGAACGCGATAGAGCGAAGCCACGAAAGTCGAGGCGCGAAGTGGCGAGGGACGACTGTATTTGTTTATCACAACTGCCCAACTACATACATTCTATGCGCATAAATTGTTTATGTTGTTGAGCAAATGTGGTAAGAGTGCGTGTCCAAAACGTTAGGGAAGAGAAAGAAGATAATGAATACAGTTTAGATATATATTAGGGTACTGAGCTGAACTATGAACATACCCAGGTACTGAACTAAATTGCCCACATATCCATTGCATGACCGCGTTATATCTGAAATTAGGGCGTCGCTTTCGGCGATATTTACATTCACGATGTTTCAAGATGAAAACATAAGAACCTTTGAGAGCAGTCTGGGGAAAATCAACATCAAGGGCGATATCCCTTTTGTAAGTGCAGACACAAATCTGAATGGGCATTTAGTAGCAGCGCCGTACGTCCCTGCACATGCCCGCACCGTGGTGCCTCCATCTTTTGACTAATGATTTGTAAGTTGTAACTGGTGAGTTCCCGCTGGAACACAAACAACACGCGCCATCTCATTAAACATTTTCACATCCCAAACACTTTCCTTGGACCACTGGGGTCTACGGATCAGGGCATTTCCCATGGCCCGAAATGCGATTCTTCCACACTACACATTCACAGGAACACATCTATCAAAAAGCCTTTCACAACATCCTTCGTGTTGACCGAAATATGACCACTAATGACAAACACCATCACATTGCTACAATAAAATAAAGGATTCGTGTCGTAGCGGGCTTCTCATGGTCCTGTAGGAAACACTTCCAGTCATTAAAAGGGAGGTAACAGCCTACCTGACACACTTCATGCAGGCACTGTGGCAGTATATTCCCCAAAGTGTTTTTTAGATAAACGACACTTTTTGAGGTGACTGCTGTCTTGAATGTGTCATCTGGAAAAAGTGTGCATTCATTAAAGTTCATACAATTAATGATACTTTTTTAAAAATTAAAAGCACAAATTTAAGGGGAAAAAAATCAAATTTTTATTCATTCACAGACGTTTCGCCTGAGATGGAAAGTATTTGACTATCTACATGATTCTCAAACTTGTTCTAAAACAGGGAGCGTATCTAAAACATGACTGGCAGTATACGGCAGAAATCCATATTGTTTGGCAATGTATGCCAGACATAAGTGATAGATATACATTGGCTACATAACCCAAAGTTATTAATAAGTTGCAGTGTATATTACATAAATATTTCTTGTGGAATTTTATTTACTATAGCAACTATATAAAGTATTTTTTTTTAAAAACTCGCCCCGAAATTTCTAGCTTTTTTTCCTGTTTTTACTTTTCAATTTTTTCTTCTGTTTTTGTTTGTTTTTGTTTTTGTCGCTTCAAGGGGTGTGTACCACAATTTCAGTGAATGAGAAACTCTATAGAAAGATAATTATTAAAAAAATCATAGACTTGTTAAAAGTTTTTGTGTAATGTCTAAGTGAGACTCTAACGAAAAGTGATGCCCACATTTGTAACGCTTGTGTATTCATTGCGTTTAAAACCAAAACCAAAACAACAACAACGTCCAAATGCATTCCCAGTCATTGACCTCACCGGCACCAGACTTGTGCTTCTTCCCCTCTTTCTTGTGTTTTTTCGTTGCGACACTCATATTTGCATCTGATCAGTTTCTCCTGGGACAATATAAAACTGATAGAAATTTCCCTCCACGGTCGAATCTGCCAAAAAAATAATTTTAAAATAAAAAACCTTTAAATTAACGAAAAACTGACAGATAGTTTTAAAAATAAGGAAACTTTTACGTTCACTGGGAGGGGGGGGGACAAACTGGTTTATTTGTAAAGGTCCGGCACTGTCAGATTTGAGTTCGAAGTTAGCTCAATCAAACTGGAGGTTAGCGGCCTTGATTTGAGGAATAAACTATAAATAGGTCTCGTAGTTCTCAGGGAAAGTAATAGTAATCATTGATTGAGAGAACATTACTTTTTTGGGGGCTCTGATTATTTTCACAACTTGACTTGTATTCTTAAAAATCATTTAATCGTTTCTTAATTGCAGATGCTTTCTATCTTCTCGTACAATGTATGCAATTCATTTCTATTTTCTGTTGAATGATTGATTTTCCACCAGTTCTGATTAAAATGCGATTTCATCCATTATCTTGAACCTTTTGACTTTTCCAGGCTTGAGTACCCCCCCCCCTTTTTACCAGAGAAAGCACAGGGGCACCACAAGGCTGCGTTCTCTCTCCTGTACTGTATATCGTATATACCATTGATATTCAAAGCTCAAGCGACACCGTTCCAATCTTAAAATTTGCTGATGATACCACCATCGTTGGCTTAATATCTGAAGGAGAAGCCCTACACCACAGTTTCGTTACAAGCTTTATCAATTGGTGCGATGAAAATATTCTCAAGCTGAGTGTCTCAAAAACAAAGGAAATGGTTGCTGATTTCAGGAGGGGGAAACACCAGATTACAGGTCTCAACATAAAAAATCAAAATGTGGAGAAAGTGGATGCATACAAGTACTTAGGTGTCACCATTAATAACAAGCTAACATGGCAAGAGCACGACCAAATGCTGTATAAGAAAGTCAACTAAAGACTGTTCTACCTCCAAAAAAAAAAAAAAACTGTACAATTTTGGCGTAAACAAGCAAATCATTAACTTATTCTACAGTGCAACTATTGGAAGCCTACTTAATTTCAATATTACCTGCTGATGTGGGAATTCAACGTCTGATATTAAACACCACATAAACCGACTTATCAAGAAAGCTGGGAACATAACACAAACTAAACATCCTTCACTCGAAGAACTATTTGAAGAAAGATGTTTTTGTAAAACTAAACAGATTTTGGATGATGCATCCCACCCTCATCATCACAGTTACTTAGGATCGGGCCGTTCGGGACGAATTCTTTCCATCAAGGCGAGGACTGACAGATATAAAAATTCGTTTGTTCCCCAATCTGTACGAATTTACCGGTGTGCTCCCTCTGAAGTTAGACATCTTCATGAGAACTAATAAGTCCCAGATTTTGCTAAGAGAACTCACTGAATGGCCGTTTGAGATAATTTATTATAAATGTCTTGTCTTCGAATTGTTTTATTTATGTGCCGAAAATGTAAAATGCAACTAAAAAACATTTCTATTTATTTGGATCAATAAAAGAATCTTATCTTATCTTATCTTACATTTACATCATTATTCTTTAATATTCTTTAAATTTAAATGTCCCATCAAGGCTAAAGAAATAAAACGTACATTTGCCAACGTGTGATTAAAAATAATACCTTTAAATATTTTTTTTCACCAGCTTTCCCTTATTCTGTTTAATCACATATTATTTCAAATAATCACACAAAATAAGTTATCAACATCAAGCTATCGATCAGGACCGACTAGAATGATGAGCGCCATTATTGTTGTGACGAATGTTAGCAGGAAGTGACGTTGTCTCTAGGTTAAGCCGGAAGTCGAAACGCTGTCGTGCCAACTTGGTGCGCAACTTAAAAACACTATTTTTGGAGATAACTCTTAAAACGTTTGGCACCAGAAAGATGAATTAATTATACAGAGAGACCTCAATGGGCTACGTTGAAATTTTTGTAAAACAGAGTAGCTTGCCCATGGTTCCCCGCCTACTTTTATCACTTTGGGTTGGTTCCAAACTCATGTTTGTTGCTTCTAAACTCAATTCCAGTAAGTCAAGTAAGGTTATTTAAAACGGACCCAATAATATAGTTTAAAAAATTAATTTATACTTTTACTCTGAATAATTTACATTTCTAATTATTTATTTATTACTGTTTATCAATTTGTACTTTTTGTTTAAAAAGGCATCCAGCTGAAATGCCGCGTCGTTCGACATGTATTTTCATTTAAAGCCTTAATTTAAAACTTGTTCCACTAGTATTTATGATTTTTTTTTAAAAGTGGGTGAGGAGGCTAACCTTATGTTTGATTATTTGTCCCACTTCTCTTCTTATCTCCACCACAAACTCCCTTTCCCACTTCTCTTGTTATCTCCATGACAAACTCCCTTTCACACTTCTCTTCTTATCTCCACCACAAACTCCCCGTCCCATTCTCTCCTTATCTCCACCATAAACTCCCTGTTCCATTTCTCTTCTTATCTCGGCCGTACACTCCCTGTCCCATTTCTCTTCTTATCTCTAGAACAAACTCCCTGTCCCATTTCTCTTCTTATCTCCACCGTACACTCCCTGTCCCATTTCTCTTCTTATCTCCACCGTACACTCCATGTCCCATTTCTCTTCTTATCTCCACTGTACACTCCCTGTCCCATTTCTCTTCTTATCTCCACCGTACACTCCCTGTCCCATTTCTCTTCTTATCTCCACGTACACACTCTGCCCATTTCTCTTCTTATCGCCACTGTACACTCCCTGTCACATTTCTCTTCTTATCTCCACCATAAACTCCCTGTCCCATTTCTCTTCTTTTCTCCACCGTACACTCCCTGTCACATTTCTCTTCTTATCTCCACCGTACACTCCCTGTCCCATTTCTCTTCTTATCTCCACCGTACACTCCCTGTCACATTTCTCTTCTTATCTCTACAACAAACTCCCTGTCCCATTTCTCTTCTTATCTCCACCGTACACTCCCTGTAACATTTCTCTTCTTATCTCTACAACTAACTCCCTGTCCCATTTCTCTTCTTATCTCCACCGTACACTCCCTGTCCCATTTCTCTTCTTATCTCCACCGTACACTCCCTGTCCCATTTCTCTTCTTATCTCCACCGTCCACTCCCTGTTCCATTTCTCTTCTTATCTCCACCGTACACTCCCTGTCCCATTTCTCTTCTTATCTCCACCGTACACTCCCTTTCCCATTTCTCTTCTTATCTCCACCGTAAACTCCCTGTCCCACTTCTCTTCTCATCTCCCCATAAGATCCCTATCCCATTTCTCTTCTTATCTCCACCATACACGCCCTTTAACATTTCTCTTCTTATCTCCATCGCTCACTCCCTGTCCCACTTCTTTTCTTATCTCCACCATAAACTCCCTATCCCACTTCTCTTTTCATCTCCACCATAAGCTCCCTATCCCATTTCTCTTCTCATCTGCACCGTACACTCCCGTTGTTCCATAGAGCACCATTATTCCAATTTATTAATTTCTTCATAGCCACCTGTTGATGTTAATTGACTTGTGGTCATATTTCAACATGACCATTTCAGAATAACTTAGTTCTGGTTGGCTTATTCACTGGTAATGATCTCACCTAAAGCTCGTTTGTAACTGACATCAAACATTAATTTGACGTGTTCCAAGTTGTGTTTGGGGTAATTAGCGTTACAGTTTTATTTCGACATCGATTGATCCGAATAACAGATCCATCATATAAACCACGTGATCACTTTAAAATGCAGGCCCAACTGGTGTTTTACTTCGTAAGTAACAAGAATGTACCCTTGGCATTAGCCAGCAGTGGTTCTAGCGTGTATTAACAAGATTGTACCCTTGGCATTAGCCATCAGTGGTTCTAGCGTGTATTACCAAGATTGTATAGCGTGTATTATCAAGATTGTACCCTTGGCATTAGCCATCAGTGGTTCTAGCGTGTATTAACAAGATTGTACCCTTGGCATTAGCCAGCAGTGGTTCTAGCTTGTATTATTTCCCACCTTTCTAACACCTGTACAGTGGCTTAGCTAGGGTAAGTGCCGCCTGGGGCGGGCAAAGATTTTTGCCGCCCGCCCAATGCCACCCCTCTATATAAAGACAAAAGTACACCCCTTCTTCCTACGCAACCGCACCTGTACCCCAGTTCAGGAGCTAAAAGGGCTTTTGGCTTGCATTAATTCCCAAGACGTTCTCACACCTTTTAGTGACATGTAGCGTTCACTTGGCCTTGAAGGTGGTGCCCAACGATTTTGTTGACTGGATAGCGGTGTCTTCATTGTGTCTTAGCGTGTTCTTTATGCGCTCCACGTCGCAGGAGTTGTCGGAATTTTCATTGTATTTTTTTTCCATCATGCCAATGTTATACCGCCCACGGGAATCCATCTTCGGATTTGGTTACAGGTTTTGCCTTCTCTTAGATGATTTGCCATCCAAGGTTAACGAGTCTCATCCACCCGGGGTGCTGGTGGTGTTTTTTGCTTGGCTGAGCGTTTGCTGACTGAACTCCAGTCCCACAAAATCGGGATTGACTCAGTTTAGACGACTCGGCAGCCCAGCACCAGGGGCGTCATTTCAGGTTTTTTTTTGGAGGGAGAGGGGGGGGGAGGAGGCAAAGACAAAAATTGTTCAGCTTGTTAAGTTGTTTATTACTGGAGGCGCCACAGCAATTAAAATAAAACCTGCAAATGGGGAGGAGGGGGCATTGCCCCACCCTGCCCTATCTAAATGACGTCCCTGGGGGGCCAGCACCCTATTAAATGATGGAGACACATTTAGGAGATGAGGCCCACTAAAACGGAGATTACTGACATTAAGTATAGGAGGACCGCAAACATTAAGAACAGGTGGACCTCTGAAATTAACGCTGTGCTTAGACAGTTAAGTATTTGATCAATTCGACAAGTCATTACGCCAGTGTTCCCATCGAGTGGCAGCCGGTATGTATAGACAGTTGTTAGCGTCTGGCCTGTCCAAGCAGTGGGCCTTATATCAAATCAGGTAAGTGAATCATTGTAAGTACCATAGCATGAAGCATTCTCTCTTAGTAGAAAAAAACAAACCATATTCAAGAATAGGTCTACTAAGACGGCACGTAGTCGAGAACTGTTTGGGTGTTGCCAGTGGCGTAGGAAGGTGGGGTGCGGTTGGGGGCGGTCCGTCCCGGGTGGCACTAGTCCTAGCTAAGCAACCACCAGGTGTTGGTACTACAAGACATACATCGATGAGAACACTATAGTAACCCTCATCCTAACCTGTGGTCTCTAAAAAGTCTACATTATGGGTACATTATATGAAATTCACGAATGCCTGCACCGAAAATAAGAACTGTTTATTCAATTTTTATAAAAATGGCATTTAAAAAAAATTCAAATTTGTCTTTAAACTTTTTTGGGGGGGCAGTGCCAGTTGGTTTTTGGTTGGACATAGTTTTGCTCCGGGGGGGGGGGGGGGGCGGCACTTGGCTTTCCCCTTGGTACTGCCAACCCCCCCCCCCCCACAGATCTAGCAGAAAGAAACCCTGATTGCGAGCACACCTGTTTACCCCTTCGCTGTCGCCGTAGTAAGGCTAAGGCTACGGCACTGCGAGGAGCCTTTACAAAAATAAAACTACGGTTTTGGGAGATTTTTTTTTCTCATTTGTTCGAGTTATTTTTAATTTTAAAAAAAAAATAATTGGTGTGTTCTCAGTAAAAGTATTAAAAGGTCGCCGTACTTGTGTGTGTGTTAACAGCGTCAGCAATGGAATAAAAAGAAAATAAAAATAATTGTTATTGGTCTTTGCGGTCTCGATTTTAATAAACCAACTAGAATATTATCTTTTAGAGAATTACGCTGTTAATACTTGACTGCCAATGTGCTTGCCTTATACCTTTTCTCATCCTTAAGAAAAACATCGCAGGACTTTAACATGTATATTTATTTATTTATTTATTTTGGCATTTTTAATTTTTTTATTTTTTTTAATAGCGCTTACCTTACAGCTCTAAGCACTTTACAATTATTAAAAATATGTAAACTATTTAAACTGCTAAAGTGAAAGAAAAAAGGAAAAAACCAGAGACACTAGAATAGTAACTGCAATAAAAATGACTATAGAAACAGTAGCTTAAACATTAAAATGGCTATAAAAACGCGTACACTTTGGCACGTTTTGGCCTATACTACAGGATCAACCCGAGACAGAAAATGAGGCAGGGCTAGGAGGGTGCATCACAGGTCATAGGCGGACCTAAACAGATGGGTTTTAAGGGACTTTTTGAAAGTGGACGAGGTTTCACAATGACGGATATGGAAGGGGAGCTGGTTCCAGAACGTGGGCCCATGGAAGCAGAAGGAGCGTTCACCGATGGTCTTAGTTTTGGTTCTTGGGATTGAGAGGGTTCTATTGTCAATTGAAGAGCGTAGTTGTCTTGTGGGGGTGAAAGGAAGCAACAGCTCAGAGAGATAGACAGGAAAGTGAGGGTCAGTGAACGAGTTGAAGCATAGATTGGCAGACTTGTACTTGATGCGAATTGGATATTGGAAGCCAGTGGAGTTGCCGCATGTGTGGTTGAATGTGGTCATGTTTCTTTGATTTAAAAATGAGCCTGCATGCTGAGTTCTGTGCCTACTGAAGTTTTTCTATTTATTCGTGTTAACTTACATAAGCAGTTGAGTGGATTTCCTTACACAACTTGTATTTTGATTGCAAATCAGCCTCCCCCTACCCCCCCACACCATTTTTCTGTCCGCTAATTAACCACACTACTCTTATATTTTATAGCTTG